TTTATAAAAGACTAAGCTTGAACTTAGTCTTTTATAAATCATTCCTTCTTCATGGTTAGATGTTCTAAGTAACAAACACCTGGTTTTGAATTTCTAAACTCAAGATCAGGCAGAGATTCTGACATCTTCTCTGTAGCCTAACATTTTCCCTGCCTGAAGTATGGGATGTAGACATGCATACACATGTTTGCAGAAATACCTAAAGTAGGAACAGTAGTTTTTAGTGATTACAGCTAAAGTACACCAATGCGTTTTTCTTTTGTGTGTGCCTGTTGCTTATAACTGTATTTCATGACATTGAGAAACTTAACCAGAGTGCAGAAAATCCTTGTAATTTAATAACTACTAATATGGAGCCTGAAAGATAGGAATAGAAAATATCAAGCATGATTAATATGAGGAGTGAGCCAGCACAATTCGAGGCAACACAACAGATTCAAGTATTTTTATGAATGTGTTTTTACCTCCAGAAGACATGAGCAAACTATTTTTTAAAGAACCATAGTTCCATTTCTGGTATGCAGTGGTTAGAATGCAGTATTGCAGGGTAACTCTGGCCATATCCAGGAGTTCGAACTTGACTGGCTCAAGTTTCATTCAACCTTCCATCCTTCTGAGGTTGGTAAAATGAGGACTTAGATTGTTGGGAGCAATATGCTGACTCTGTAAACTGCCCAGAGAGTGCTGTAAAGCCTTATGGGACAGTATATAAGTCTAAATGCTATTACTATTGCTATTTCTGCTATGTAGATACTTGTTTTCCTTCCAAGTATATCTGCCAGATGGTCTCACAAGTTTCAAAGAGGTTTTACTTAAAATGCTCCTATTTCCAGCAAGCAAGGCTTTAAGAAATAATATATGGTTAGTATTTATCAATTTATAAAAGTTATCGGCTACCTATCTTACCACAAGCTAACTGCCACGCCCTTGGTAGAGTTGGACTCTGAGGGAGAGGAGGAACAGCCGACAGGGCGTGGAGGTGTGGCTCTGGAGGTTGTGGAGGAGGCTGGGGAAGGGCAGAGGCTGGCTGAGCAGTCAGAGGAAGAACCAGGCCCATCCCCTCTGCATCCTAGGACACGCAGGGAGGAACTGAGAAGGCAACAACTTGGCTTACGAGAGAGGAAGCGGCCATGATCCTCCTTGGTTGCAGCTGGGGAGTCTAGCATATAAGAGAGACTATTACAACACAGTGTTGCCAGAAGCAAAAAGTGTGTTATTTTGTGCTGAAGTTATCTTGGTTGGCATCCTTCCAACAGACTGTGCCTTGTTATCTCCTTGAATTTGGTAATTACTTATCCTGGTCTGTTGCGGAAATTTCATCATTGTAGTTTGTTTGGTTTTTTATTTCACTTCTATTGCTCATTAAGTTCGGACTGTATTGGCTTCCAGTTTGTAGGGCTTTGGCGGCAGGCAGGAATCCGTGATCATGCGCGGTTTCTGCCTGGGCTCACCGCTGGAGCGCCCCGAGTCAGCTGGCTTCGTGGCTAAGCCACCCCGTAGAGGTGGCGAAGATGGGGGAGACCCAGCAGGTTAGAGAGGAGCCGCACCTCTACTCCTCAGCTGGCTAAACTCCCTTTCGTGAAGGCGGTAAGAGCAGCGGCCAGATATGGCTGCCTCAAAGAAGCACTCAGCTGGAAAAGAAAGTGCAGGAGGAAGTTAAAAAGTAAAAGTTTTTGGTTGACTGGGACAAAAAGTAACAACTAAATTACCCTGGAATTTAAATTTTGCAAAAGATACATTGCTCCCAAAGAAGAGTCGGAAGCAGCGAACGAAAGTAAAAAGGGAAAGTTTTTTTTTCTTCACTCTCCTTCCTCATGCTGACAACGAGAAGATCTGAATAAAGAAATCAGAAAAATCCGCTTGGAACCAACAGGTAATTAAACTGGAAATATAATTAAATGCCAAAGGGACAATAAAGATTTCTGAACACTAAAAAAACCCCTTTTTTTTGCTATAAGTGGGAAGGGAGAGGAAAAGAATAAGAGCAGGACTTGGAAGGAGGAGACTGCTTGGAATTCAAAAGAATTTAAAGTTAAATCTTAACAAGACTTCTAAAGGATACATTTTAACTGGAACTTTGCAACTAAATAGTAACCCCAAGAAGAGAAAGTGAAAAAAGAAGAAAGTGTTAAAAGAAACAGCTTGTGTGTATTTGGATTGTTTGGTGACTTTGGGACTTTTGGAAATCATATTTGAATGACTAAAAACACTTGGGTGGTTGTTTAAAAAAAAACTCTACCATGGCATCACCTCTGGATGAACTGAATGAACTGGATGAACTGAAAATCAAATTTAAAAAATATAAAGAAGAGGAACAAGAAGGGAAGGGCTCCTTTGGTTCCATTTTTCAATTCTTAGAAATGGTGATTGGTGTCTACAAGAAACAACAAGAAAAGACTGCGCAACAAGAAGATTGGGACAAAGAATGAACAAGTAATTCTATCTGGGGAAGAAAAGGGAAAGGGGGGAAAGAGAATGGAGAATCTAAGACCTAAAAAAACAGCCAAAAAAGGGAAAAAAATAATGTGAAAAGGGGATATAATGTTGGAAAGCAACAGAAAAGGGGAATACAGAAGAGGGAAATGGAGGTGGAGAGACAGGGGGGTAAAAACAGGAGAGAGAAGAAAGGGAAGAATGAAGGGAAGAAAAGTTACAAAGGTCTGGAGCAAGATGTAAAGAAACAGGATTTATTCAGAGATAATGGGTGAAAATGTAACTGAAAAAGGGATTCTGTAATGATACATAAGATTGTATTGTTATATTTGTAATAGAAATAATGTTAGAAAATTGGAAACAACATATGATTAAAAAGTGGAATAAAATAGTTAGTGTAATTTAGTGAAACTTTTGTGAACAAAATAAATGAAATGAAATAAATGAGAGAATTGAACTAGGAAGGAATGGAAACATTTTAACTACTCAACGTTTTATAAAATATAAGTGAAGTGGGAGGGAAGTAATTATGAAAAGTTTATAAGTGTTTCCATAGAAGTATGATACTTATTTGAAAAGTAATGTGTAAAATGTTCAAGATTTAAACGAATATTAATATTAATGATAGAACTGAATTGGTATGGATTGTTGTTTTAATTATGTTATATATTTATATTTTTTTCTTTTTTTAAAATACATTTGTGTAGTTTTAGAATGTACCAAGCAGAATCTGAATGGAAGTTATGTATTATATTAAGTGTTATAATTTTAGGGGAAAGATATAAAGGCGTCATACTCCAATCAGTGATTACAGGAGAAATTTTGCTTATTGAGAAAAGATAATAGACAGCTGAAACAGGACAGACAAAGAATATAAGTATGATGATTTGAATTGAGTTGAAATAAATAAAATAAAATTAAGAAAGTTGAAAGAGGGGAGAAGTTATATAGAAAATGTAGAATGGTAATAAGATATGGAATGGAATATAAAAATGAGCATGAATTTGAATTTGTGTCTGCACGAAGAGATGTAACCCGGGATCAGGCTGCTTTCAAAAAAGATGTTTTATATTTTTATGTTCTATGTTTTGTTTGTTTATGTCTGTTTTTAAAAAATCAATAAAATTTTCAAAAAAAAAAGTTCAGACTGTATTGCTTTCTTTTGAAGACTATTTTTGAGTACATTTTATCTCCAACTGAGAGTTATTGAACAGTGGGGACAAGTTGGAGGCATTAAAGGACATTTATTTACGTTTTGGATTTTGATACTTTTGTGTTACGCTCTGGGTTGTCACACTAACTCTGAATGAGTTGGTGTGCATGTAGCTCCTTAGAGATATTCCCCAAACTTCAAGATTTATGGGAACAAATTATCAATGAATAATGTAAGAAATTCTGCCTATATAGATTGCCAAGTATGGCCATCAGTCCAAATGAGCATGATGTGACATGCATGACAGATACTAGAATGTCACCTGAATAAAAGATCAAAAGAGATATCAATATTGCCTCTCCTGGACACAAAATAGACCACAATTTATCTAGTGCTATGGAAAAAAAGCTTTACTTCTTGACTAGGAATGTGGATAAATGAAAGAGCCACTGTGCATGATTGCAGTCAACTATGGACGTTCACCATGTGGCTTTGAGCATTTTCTCTAAACTCAAACTACCTCACAGGGTTGTTGTTACAGAGCATAAGAGGAGGGAATCCTAGATGCTCTGCCTTCCATTCCCGATTGAAAAATGGGCTATAAAAGTAATAAATAAATGCATGTTGCAAGAAAAAAGGTCAGGGAACCCACCCTTAAAACTGCCACAGCCATGTCATTAAGGGTTCAGTTCATTTACCAAAAAAATCCCAGAAAAGTTCCACATTTATACAGGTAGTCCTCGACTTACAACAGTTCATTTAGTGACTGTTCAAAGTTGTGACACTGAAAAAAAAGTGACTTAGGACCATTTTTCAAACTTACAACCTTTGTAGCATCCCTATGTGATCAAAATCCAGATGCTTGGCAATCTGAATAGTAGTTCCTACTTATGACCGCTACTGGTCCAAAGGTCATGTGTGATCACCTTTTGCAACCTTGAAGACAGATTCACTTAACAACTAGGTATGTTACCAACTGCAATGATTCACTTAAACAACTGTGGCAACCAAGGTCATAAAACTCACTCAGCCTGTTTCATTTAACAACAGAAATTTCGGGCTCCACTGTGGTCACAGATGGAAGACTACTATGGAAGAGTACTACCTGGACTCTTTTTCTCCTGCCCTTCGCCTAAGATGGCTTCTGTGAGAAAGAAGCAGCCTTTGAGCCCTATATATAACAAGGCCGAGGCTTTCCTAAAATGAGCGAAAAGGTGGCAGCTGAGAGCGCCAGAGGAGAAAGTTCATTTTGAGGGAAAGAGTCCTTGAAGATTCCTCCTTGGAGAGGCAACGAGCTGAGCCCAGGCTGAGATTTCGCTGACCTCCAGCGGCAGAAAGAGTTAAAGCGAAGGCGGGGAGAGAGAGAGAAAGGCGCTCCACCTTCGCCTGGCTGGGGGGCAAGGAGTAACTCGGGCTGGGAGAGCCACAGGTAGGCGGCGGCCTTGATTGTTGTTATTGGGGCTGCTTGAAGAAAGCCTTCGCGCCAGGTTTCTGGTGAGACGGATCGTCTTGCGCTCTCCTTCCCAGTTCTGTCGGTTTCCCAGGGGTGGAAGAGCGGCTCTTTCGGGAAAGCAAGAAGAGGGGGAATCCCAGGTGACCGAGCGCCTTCGGGGGCGGGGTGGTGGTGTCGCCCGAGCAGAGCCCCTTTCTTCCAGCCCGCTTCCTCGCTGACTTCCACCAACACCGATCGTCTCTCCCCTCGGGTCTTTCCGTTCGGAGCTGCCCGGCGGCGGCTCAAAAGCTCTGGATTCCGCTCCCTGCCACGCTCCGCTCTTGCAGCGCCTTTCGGGCTAAGTGGCGGGAGGGCAGGCGGGCGAGCCAACTCTTCCCAACAACGCTCGCTTCGGCGCAATGTACCTGTGGCGGTTCCCCTGCGGGCCCTGGGCTAACGGGGATTGCGGCCACGCCAGCTCTTCGCTCCGGCCTTTTTAAGAACGACAGCGAGAAAGAGAAAGGAAGAACGAAAAAAAAAGCTCGGCCTTCTTCGGGCAGGGGACCCGGCAAGCGCGAAGCCTCCGCTTGGGGTTGGATGCCTGTTGCTTTCCGCCGGGAGAAGCGGAAGCCCAAACGATGCCTTTCCCTCTGAGGACCGTGGCTCCCCTCCAGCTCTGCCGCTTGGAAGAGGGCGCTGCCGCCCTTCCGAGGGACAAAGAAGGGCACGCCAGGCGGAGCGGCGCGGGGCTCCTCTTCGACTCTTTGGAAGAAGTCTGCTCCCGCTCGCTGGTCTCCCTCCTCTGGCAGCTCTCGGACCTTTCCCGCTGGGCCGGCGACATCTTCGGCGGCATCCAGAGCGAAGCCGACAGCTTAGGGTGTCGGAGCGTCCGGCTCCACTGCCGGTTGGAGTCCCTCAAGGCTCTCGCCGGTGGCCTGGACCATCGCAAAGTCAAAGTCCGTAAGTCTCTGGCTCGTGGCTGCGTTGGGTGGGCGACTGGGCGAGCTGGACGGACTTGTTGGCTGCAGGGGCCACTCTCAGCTGCTGCGGGTCGGTGGGGGACGGTGTGTGTGAGTGTGTGTGTGTGTGTGTGTGTGTGTGTGTGTGTGTCCCGCGCAGGAGAGAAGAAGGGAAATTTGGGTCAGTGGAAAGGTTTGCAAAGGAGCAGAGGTCCCTCTGCTTATCCGTGGGGCTCACAGAAAACCCAGACCCTCCCACTCGCGAGTGGAAACGGGGCCGTTTCCTCTTTCTGTCCAAAACGGAGCTCGGTCTGGACCAGAGAGAGAGAGAGAGAGAGAGAGAGAAAGACTAATGGTTCCGAGCGGGTTTTGCATGAAAGAGCTTAGCGGTTATTGCAAAAGGTACAGGCTCCACGGGTTGGGGCACATTGTTGAAATGCTGCTTTGCCTCTCCCAAACAGGGATCCTTAAAAGTGTCCAAATGCTCAAAACAGAGCCTCGGGTTTCTTCCTTCTCTAGGTTGGGCTTGGCCAAACCATTGGCCTCTTAGAAACCCTCCGTGACAGTGCGCGACACATGTATCTGGCGTGCTGCGTGCTGAAATACAGATGCGCGTCCATCAGATGGGATTATATTCCTTCTGGATGGCATGCCTGGGATTCCAAGAGGGTGTGAAGCAGGCTTGGGATTAGGTCCCAGGCTGTAAAAGGTTTTCTGAAGATAAGAGAAAAATCTTCCACATCTGTGTTTCTTTGTGCATGTTTTTATAAACAGGAGAGCAAAGCGGAAAAAATAGAAGGGAACACTCAGAACTTAAGTTGAAAACAAAACAAAAAAAAAAAAACCTTCGGGTACACTTTGAAAGATTTCTTTACAATGTAATTAGTTAACTTCTCTTATGGCAGTGGAAACATGGAATATCTGACCAAATTTATTCAGATGAAAGCTATTTGATAATACTAAACTCTGGGAATGGTGTCTTCCAAGGATCCCTTGATTAAAGTTTGAATATTATACATTTTTTGTAAAATAATACATAGAAGTTTATAGAAACCCTAATGAAAGTTATTTGTTATTGTAAAATCTGTTGGTATTCCTGATAAAAGTCATTCAAACAGAGAATGAGTTTGGATAACACTGAGACACCTGAATGATCAAACCTTCATTGGAGAGGTATTGAAACTTGGTAAACTTTCAAAAGCAAGTTTTAATTCAATTATTTTTTCTTCTGAACAACATTGTTCTTATATCCAGATTGTCTTTTATTGGTTTGACTTTAGTGTTGGATGTACACATTCTGTCTTCAACATATAAAAGCTTTTATCAACTTCATTTCATTTGGAAAGAAAATGACACTCTTACTATACTGCAGATGTTATCAGACTCATTGTTCCACAAAGACATAAAGCCAACACCCATGGTTTGGTAATACAGTTATGAGGGTGTATTAGATTATTCCAGAGGTGTCTCCTACTAAAAAAAAAATTGTACAATAGCCTTTCAATGCTGTTGCAGAATATGTGAAGTCGTAGTTGGGTCTAGGAAAAGTGTTTATAAGGGGTCCTTGGTATTCTCTGAGCTTGGTTGTTTTCTTGCAAACATTTCATTACTCAAACTAGGTAACATCATCAGTACTAGCACTGATGATGTTACCTAGTTTGGGTAATGAACCGTTTGCATGGAAACAACCAAGCTCAGAGAGTACCAAGGACTCCTCATTTCAACCCTGAGCTACAAATACTTTATTGTTTATTTATGAACATATATTGAGATCAACAACTGACACTTTTGGGGAAACCTTCTCCTTGACTTGTAAGATAGTGGTTGGCATCTTCTGTGGTAGCAGCTATATCTGCTGTTGGCAAATTAGCCTAGCATCTGGCACCTATTTTTTGGAGAGCTGCTGAAGTCTGGTCTCCTGAGCCTTTAAAGCTAATTGAAGCAACATTTGCTCTTACTGATTTCATCAGGACAGGATGTCATTGGTTTTTACAAAAGGTTTTTACCTTTTACATAATCATCTGCCGTTTCTCTTGTTTTATCTTTGAAAATTGGAATTCACTTCGACAACTGCTCAAAGTGGGATAAATATTTTGTAAAGAATGAAAAACATCTTTCTTTAAAACGTCCTTGCCTGAAAAAAATGTGAAGGGTTTTTTTTTTCTTTAGGAAAAATTCTATAACTTTTGCTGACTTACGTCACAGTATACTTTTCCTTAATTTTCCCATGGATAAGATAATGCTAGTCTGGTATCTTTGATCCAGCTCAAAGTACTTTAAAGTTAGACAAGGGCGCCTAATCCTTAAAGTTACCTTTCTGGGAGAATACTGAATCAACAATGCACAACAGTGATTTGACTTCAGCTTTCACTGGAGTTCTACCCCAATTCCTGGGAGTAAGCTCTTGTGACTACAAGATATTTAATTTTTCTTTATGTTATGAAAGCATTGCTTTAACACTTTCCATTTTATTATATTCCACCCATCTAAACATGGAAGTTCCTTATCTTTTGCACGATATGTTCCTTTTTATTCACCCCTGCTGTCCATTTCAATGTTTACTTACAATCTGTTCAAGTAACGTAGCTTGTTTTTATTTATAGTATGTGCACTATTCAGAGATCCAAGCTGAAAAAAATTGCTGTCACATGATCTGTTCAATCTGAATTAAAAGACTTCTATGTAAATGTTATACAAATATTATTGGAATTCAACTTTAGACATTGGGAATTTACCTTCGACTGTTTAAATGAATGGAAGCAAAGTGTGTAGGGGAATGCGTCCTTCCTTCTTTCTTTTTCTTATCCCAGGCCCTCCCTGTCATTGAAGGTTCACAAGCAATGTTATGATTTTCCCTCTGTAAACTACATACATCCTTTTCTTGGAAACTTTTGAATGGAGTGTTTGGAATTTCCTGCTGGGTCTTTGCAATGAAATATTCTTCTGACCTCTCCTCTTTTTTCAGTTTTACAGTTTGTCCCACTCTGCACAAAACAAGGCTTATAATGTGTGATGTACAGACAATTCAGCAGAGTAGAGAAGCTTGTTTGTCAGCATTTCTGATGGGTATCAGTTTTCAGCTTTCATTTGGCACATTAGCCTTAGGAGAGTAATTGGGGTTTTTGTTTGCTTACACTAACCTTTTTGTTTCAATTCATATTTTTTTTCCTTAAAAACAAAACCCTTTTTAAATTCTGTTCACAATAGCTGGTTGTATAGATTTGATATTTATAATGTAATTATTATTTTTTGTATAATTTACACTATCTAAAGCTTATTCTTTAACACTACATTCTGTTTAGATTGGATTGTAAATAAATAGTGTTCTGAGAATTCCATAGAAGTTTCCATTGAAGAATTGGGGAGCTCTCTAATATTTTTCCCTGGAATGCATTAAAAATTGCACAGATATATAGAGCAGCTTTTCAGATGGCTCATTGCCCCAAGAGTTTTCAAAAAAAAATGTAGGGCACAGAACCAATTAATTAAAAATATTGCCCTTGAACCTCTGATCAAGTAGCATAATTTTAGAAGTGGAAGACTGCACAAACTTTTGGGGTTCAGGCATTGCCCTTGATCTCTCATGGAACATCATCAAATTCTTATAACATTCTACGGTTTTCAGGAACATAATTAAATAATCCTGCATTAGGTAACCGATGTCTTTAGCACAGTTTATGCTGATTGTTGCATTTTAAGTTTCTTGATAATAATGTAGAAGAAATAATAAGCAACCACCTTAGCATATGAAGATGAAGTAATAATTTATGCACACAGTTTAAAATGAGTAAATAATTCATGCATGTAATTCCAAGTACAAAAAAGAATTTACATTTTGCTAATTTATTTAATATTGCTTCATTTACCCTCTTGATTACTTAGCAAAAATGTATAACAATTTCTGTAAAATTCTTCCCTATTGTCAAATTGGGCTTGCTAGTTTTTTTTTTCTTTAATGGTTGAAGTATAAGTCCTGTTTTCCCCCTTCCATTCAGTTGTATCAGAGACTGCCTGGACAAGTCCCTGCAGTTTTCTTAGCAATATTTTTCAGAAGTGGTTTGCCATTTCCTTCTTTCTAGGGCTGAAAGAAAGTGACTACTGCAAGTCATCCAGTTTGCTTTGTCCCTAAGATGGACTGGAACTCACTATCTCCCACATTAAACTGACTTTCAGTGACAACAAAGGATATTTGGAGATATAATATTTATGAAACCACCAAGATTTTTTTCCAGTTTTTTTTTTCAGAAGCAATGCTGGGAATATTTGAAATGTATGCGTATTTCTTTTAATATTATCCTTAATGATCTAAGTTCTCTTTGCTGTTTGAAGAACATTCAGTGCAATATGCATAACTTTGCTCATACACTAGTCACATAATAATTTTGTCTACTAATAGAATTTACTTTAATATATTTTGAAAATTTCAATTTGGTGTTCCTTTATGCTTCTGTCCTTTGAAATCAGATCAAGGCAAATCTATCAACCTCTAAAGCAGGGGTGTCAAACTCGCAATGACACGTCAACATGACGTATCGCAACTTTTTCTCCCTTAGCTAAAAAGGGTATGGCCATGGCCAGCAAATGACACATCTTGCCTGCGGGCTGTGAGTTTGACACCCGTGCTGTAAAGAAAAAAACAAGAGCAACAGGCCTGTTTTCAGACACTAAACCAACTTTCCTTCCTTCCTCCCTCCCTCCCTCCCTCCCTCTGTTTCTCCCTCCCTGAATGGCACTTGTGACAGAAGTGCCTCTTGCCTTTGCATTTAAGAGTCATATTGCATATAGGAATTATATTGCTCTGGTACTCCGAATAAAAAGATCCAGGAAAAAAATACTTTGCATTTTGGAGTTCCATACTATTACATATGTAAAGCATCTTTTAATTTTTGAATCTCAAGCACAGCACAGTCCTAATAAAAGATCATTGGAATATAAAGCAATATATGAGCACCCTGTTTTATTGCAGCCTTAATGCCAAACAAACATCACATTTGAATTTTT